TGCAATTGCATTATTGCTAGCTCTTTTTATTTGAGATACTTAAAGTACCACGATTTAATTCCGCCTTCTCCTTTCTGTCATCGGGTGACTAGGCGTAGGCGTAGATTCCACCCCTATGTTGTGGATATTTCAAAGATTCGCACCAAGCGTTGTGCTTCCACATTTATATGGCGAACGGCTATGGAGTGGAATTCCCTGCCTGCAGACTTGTTCCTTGAACCTTTTCAAGGCGAGAGTGAATAGGCATTATTTAGGTGTGCATGCTAGATCGTCGACCTCATCGTTACATTCTATCAGGTGAGATGGAGGTTAAATGCTAATAATTAACTTACATTTGAATAAAAAAATAAAAGTGTAGGTATGTAATTTTTAATTTCCATTCTTTGAATAAATTTTTTATTGCTATTCTATATTATATGACTGTAGTATACCTACATATATACTTAAAGAATAATAAAAATGTTAATAACTAATTTACGCTTCTGTCTATCGTCGGGGGTAGTGCAATTACCAGTAACTAGCATTGGAATATGAGTTTTCATTTCGGTAATTTAGTGCCCAAATCAAACACACATAACTGTCGAGGCAATCAAAGTAGGGTCGTTTACAGGAGTCTATCGTCGTCAGTCCGTAGACAACATAAATTAATACTTATTGTGCAAAAATCAAAGTCGTAGCCATTGAAATTACAAAGTAAAGTAAAATTTGGTTTAGTGCAGATACGCGCCTTTGACCAATACTACATACGTGGATTTGCACTATTCACGTGGAATTATGGTGACAGTGTTTCAAGAGAAGATTATTTGGGGCATTTTTAAAATTTTAAACCTCATTCACTATGACCCAAATTTTTTTAGTTTATGACTTATAGACATATTTCATTCTGACCGTTGACTTACAAATAAATGGACGACGGGTCTAATACAAAAACCACGAAAAAATGTCCCAAGTCAACCTATTTAAACGTAGTAACATGTAAAGGAATATGAAAAAGCTAAAACGTTGAATTTAAATTGTAATGTCATCGCAGTACTGTCTAATTTTGCTTGCTTCGCTGTCAGTCGAACAAACGAAGACTAAAGCGTGAATGACGCTCTGTATACGATTTTAACGCCCTATAAGTTCGGACACTTTTTAGCGCGGACCCGACGTCCATATAATTGTAAGTCAATGATTCTGACACGATTATAATGACAAATTACTGACTTGCGTAGGACGGCGCATTGATAAATAAGGATGTTAGATTAAACCAATTAAAATGTATAGTTTTTATTGTCTAGAATTAAATTTATCGATTATTACAATTAATCAAACAAAAACAGTAGTTAATTACTTGAAAAACTGATGGCTACTAGAACCGTGGACACATTGCTACGTAATTCATAAAAAATATGCTATGAATACGACGACATTGTAGGGTTAACAGCAATTTATTCTAAATTTGAATTTATAAAAGAAATTAAACACTGCAAGCATTGACTTACAATTATAAAATAACGTCAATGACTGCAAGTATTAATTTCGAACGTTAATGCAATTGTTAATGTTGAAAATAGTTTCTATATATCGTTCATTTCTATCAAGTAAAATTGTGTTTAAAAATACCTAGCAATCGTGTGTCAGCAAATCAAGTCAGATTGGCCGTGTTATTCGTAAACTGCCTTAAATATTTACTCCTTACGTATACGATGATGTTTGTTTAGCAGACGTAACAACTTGTTTATTTTGATTGGTTAAACATGCTTGTGATAGTTCAAATCAGCGGATACTGATGTTTTGACCTTAACATCAGCAGCTCAGAGACCTGCAGATCAACCGAACATCTGTAGGTGCTATAAATTGTATACTAAGCAATCTCCATAGGAAACTGGCAAAAAGGCTGTTAGTATTTGTTGAATCGGCAGCAGCGTCGCCAAGACATGTAAGCTATAGTTTAGGATACGATGGAACTGGCATATATGTTGTACAAAAGTTCCTAAATAAATAAAGACAAATAAAATCATCCGCAGTGGCTGGGTGGAAAAAAATAGTCAAAAATGTGCAGATCGTTATTGAATCTAAATAAGACAGCTTTTTAATGTTTACATTTTTTGACATTTATTAAAAAAAAGTGCTGATTAATTTTATTAATCAGTCTACTTTGTTTACTCATACTGGAATTTTCTCAGTGAGCTAAGCGGGCTTGCAGTTTTATCTATTTCTACCGCCAAGCAGTAATGTCAGCATTATTGTGTTCCGGTTTTGAGGGGTAAGGGTTGCTGGTGAAATTACAGGCACATCGGCGCAGTGGCAGTGCCCCTCAGATCTTTGCGATTTAAAGCTCCGAATGGCACTTCAACTGCTATGGAAAGGTGTGTCGGTTAACATCTTACGCACGACTTGTAGCACAGATATTAGGGACAGGCTTGTAGCTCACCATCAGGCGCACGACTTGTTCGTCTCATTACTTGATATTATACAAAAGTCTGTTTCTGGATGGTTTGTGCATTAATGTTGCGACGCAAATATAAGCAATGAATATCAGCCTCCGATGCGGATATTCTACATTATGCGGATTATTTGCGGACGCGGATGCTCATATTCGCAACAGCCCTAGTCCGTATAAGTATTTGAGATTTAACACGCGATTATTTTATACAAAGCACGAGTTTGACGTGGTAAGTCAAAATAACTTTATTACATAATGCAATTTACTGCCTCTGTGGCCGAACGGATACAATGTTAAATTAAAAGTAATAAAATATGGCCACATCTCTAAAATAACAACGTCTCAGAAGAACGGTTTTAAGACTCTATGAAAGAAATTAGTCCATACGTTGTTTATGCTTTTTTAAAGATGAGAAATGAAAATTTGTTTCATGACTTTCATGGGATAAAAAGGGTACGGTATTAGACGAGTAGTATAGTTTGCAAATCATACGTGGGTAATTTTCGAGTTAGTTTACTTCATCTAATTTCGATGGCGATTTTTATTATTTAAATTTTCTGGAATATTGTCATGAAGTATCGTTTAATATTTCCCAATAATATTTCACAAAAATTGACACCAAAATTAAGTACAGAAAACCAACCTGAAAAATTACCCAATTAGGGTCATTCTTCGATCCAAGTATGCCGTTTAACAAAATGGCAGTATTCGCTATATAATATTTAGGACAAGAACATATTTATGTATATGTCGCAGCTGTATTGTATTAAGCGTCGTATTATATTACTAGCAATGTTTTTTAATACGGCTACTTCATGTTCAGCCGGATTGTAATCACGATACGTCGGCCAATGTTTAGCTGTATTGTTCACAGGGAAAATGTCACCCTGACTATGAAATTATACGCTTTTACGCATATTTTTACTTTTTCCACTCGAAAAGTAATATTGTTTCTTGCATTAGTTATTGTTGAGACAGTTGCTGTTTGGGACGCAATTTTTGTTGTTTTGTTAATGTAGCTCTATTGGCGGCTATATCTGGAACTAAATATCTCAAAGCAGCGTAACAACGACGCACCCTATTATACGAGGTAGATATTAAAAAACAGCGCCGTTTTGCAAAGCGGCTAGCCGTAACCTAATACGGCGCTTTATACAATACGGCTGCGACATGTACATTAATTATTTTTCAGTAAGTCCTAATGAAATTCCTTTTTCTTCCGGTCCATCCCGGTCTCGTCTCTGGGTATCATAAAACAGAAATTGTACCTGTGTACTCGTATTTATGCAAGGCATCATCATGCATCCTTAAGTTTTAATGTCCTTTATTCTTTTATCTTCATTTTTCAAAAAACAGAGACGGGAAGGAATGTTTCATATTTTATGTAGGTAACAGTATTTTTTATATTATTCTTCCTTTCGTATAAATAAACACGTAATTCGTAATTTAAGTTTTGTAACGTCACTTTCGTATAATAAAAATGTATGGACCGAATCCGTAATGACGTCATACGTTAGAGAACTAAAGTGACCGATACAGCATGCAAAATCTGTGCTGCAATATCATGTAATGCTTAAGCGGCGGTGCGCCGGACTTGTCTGCAGGAAGGTTGATGGCCAGTGGAGCAGACTTGGTCTAGAGTGGAGATCACATCAAGGAAAACGTAGTGTAGTGTGGCAAGATGTACGGACAACCTGAGAAAAGTGGCCTGCAGCGGCTGGATGGGGCCGGCACAAGACCGGGAGAGTGCCTTACAACACTTTTATTTTGTGCATAATTGTTACTGTGACCTAGACAATAATTATTATAAATTTGATAAAACAAAACAAAAAAGTTAATTCATGGTTGTTCTAGAATATAATAGTAGATTGTACAACAAGTGTCCAGATGGATACTTAAGTCGAGGGTAAAATGGGTTTTATGAACGAGTTATAACACTTTGCTTTTCACTTCGATTGCGAGGAAATTAAACAGCTATATTACAAATAAACGATTATTTAACTAAAACTGAATGTAAAATTACAACAATTAGACATATTTAATGTGATGGTTTTTTTTATTTTATGCACTAGAGCATAAAATCGTATTTTACCTACACCCAGCATAAATACGAACTTTAATAGCATGAGAAGTGAAAATGTAATTTTACAGCCATAAGTCGTTAAATCAACGACTCATGGCTGTAAAATAAATACTATACCGATTTCTATTGTTTGTAACTATTACTTATCATATTATCTTATCCAAAGCATTATTCCAAATGAGATCAAAGACCAGCCGTTACATTTAGGTCGATAAAAATTCATATAAAACTACAGCAAATTTTTTTCACGAGCATAGTTCAGTCTGTGTAACGGCGAAATTTTAAAGTAAGTGGAAATACTAAACTAAGAAACGATGAAATAAATGTAATGAAATTCAAACCCTAACTTAACGCTCAAAAGTTGTGACTATATTCCTTATTTTTTATTGTCACATAGTTTACTTAATGTTTCTATTCTTTCACTGATATTATATAAATTCTGTGCAGTTTCATAAATAATAGCAGTCCTAACACTTACTTCAATTACAGAACAAATATGAAAATCTTCGCCGCATTCGCGCTGATCGTTGCCGTGGCTTCGGCCGGCGTCATCAAGCCAATAAGCAATGAGGAGGCTCAGATTCAGGCTATCATCGACGCCATCCAGAGCCCCAGCACCGACCCCGCCACTGCTATCCTTCTCCAGCAGCAGCTCGCTCAGATCCTCGGCATCGCTCCTCCCAGCCCCATTATCGTTGACATCGCTGACCCTGTAGCTGTCGTCGATGAAGCTATCTCTCCCGTCGAGGTAGTCGAAGAAGCTGTTGTTGCCCCTATTGTTGTCGTTGATGAAGCTGCACCTGCACCTGTTGCTCCCGTTATCGACCCAAGCCCCGCTAGCTCTCCTCTCGTGCAGGTTATCCTGAACATTAACGCCCCTGCTGGTGCTGTCGATGTCTCCCCCGCCGGGGACTACGAGGTTCCTTACATTAGGCCCCCAATTGCCGTAGTTGACCCTATTGTGCCTGAACCTATTGTCTTGCCCCCTACTCCCATCTTCCCCGTTCAACCTGAACCACCTACTCCAATCTTCCCTGTTGTGGTTGAACCTGTTATCGTGCAACCTGTCTTCCCCGGACCCGTTGACCCTGTTGTCCCTGAACCTGTAATCGTGCCCCCTACTCCCATCTTCCCAATTGTGGTTGAACCTGTTATCATTCCCCCTACCCCTGTCTTCCCCGTGAACCCCGCGCCAGTAGATCCCGCTGAGCCTGACCTTGTGATCATCGGCCCTGGTTTCGAGACAATCCATCCTGAACCAGTGATTATTGGCCCTGGGTTCGAGACGATCCCGGCGCACTAATCATTGACCCTGATTAACAAGCTACCTATGGTTATCTCTGAAATATAAGACGTGTATTGAATAAACGACTTTTATATAGTTTTTGTTTTTAATTCTTTGTCACATTTATTATGGTAAAATATTTTTATTTAACGAAGTGTGAATAGGTATTGTTATGATTATGTACTTAGTACTCAAGAGTACCTGTGTAGTATTAATGCGCCAAATAATCATAATTTTTAACAATATACCGGACAACAGCACCAATTGTCATTCAATCAATTCTTAAACTAGGAAATTCCCTGTATTGTGAGTACCAGAGAAAGAAATTATACAGGTTACCTATATAAGTATCAAATTAGAAAAGTTCGTTTACTAAATTGATCCTACAGGAAACCGAACCCGGGACCTCCTCATCAAGTATTCATAGTGCTTACTGCTGTGCCGTGGTAGTTACAAAATAAAAATTAACTACTCAGAACGTCAGTAATATTTTGATCTAATCTTTGAGAAACACTGTAAAAGATGTTAAAACAGCGTTTTATTATAATGATATCTATTTTAGACTCTCGCCTCTCCCAAGGCCTAAAGATTAATTTTGAATTTTTAAATGGGAGAGGCGGTTTCCCGCAAGGGCACAGTCGGCTGGGGTCAGGGACTCAGGTTCAAGAACCGGCGAATTATTATGAAGATACCTAGCGACAGGATGAACAAGTCGTGCGTAAGATGTTAACCGACACGCCTTTCCATAGCAGTTGCAGTGCCACTCAGAGCTTTAAATCGCAAACATCTGAGGGACACTGCCACTGCGCCCGCCACCCTAACACATAAAAACAAGTTGATAAGTCCCACGTACCTATAGTTTCTCTAGCATCCTTACCCTTCAAAGCCAGGACGCAGTAATGCTCACGTTACTGCTTGGTGGCAGAAATAGATAAGGTGGCAGTACTTCCCTTCTTCTTTACTTCTTCTGCATTTCCTCTTCTTCTGTACTTCTTTACATAATAAAAAGTTTAAAAAAATCTTTGACTTAATAAAAAGTTTAAAAAAATCTTTGACTTATAATGAGGCTTACAACTGAGGCAGTCTTTATGTAATAAGTTAGTTAACTTGTGCACCAATGTTCCTTATTATATTCTTATTTGTCAGAATTTGTAATTGGCCTTCAGTTGTTATTATTATTTCTTAATTTAGTTTTAAATAAATGCACAGTTCGCTAAAACGTTGGGACTCGTTCACAGTGAATGCTGCTGGTATGTGTAAGCTTCTCCCAGTGCAGGTCAGGCAGTCTTCGGCCCGGGCTTTCAGAGGTGCCCTTTGAAGTCTTTGGATGATTCGAGATTCTCATGTTTCTCAGCTTACAACATATTTATTTACATTTGATGTATGTATTTATATAGAGTTTTATTTTATAACATAATAATATGCCTTAGCCAAAAGTATTTGGCACCTTATAAAATCATGCATAATTTAAAAATACTAAAAATTTCGACTGAATAAAAAACGCATAATACTTAGAACACATATATTCAGTGTTGAAACCATAGCTATACAAAGGCACCAGCACCAGCATCTTGGGCACCTCGCCGCGGGGACCCAATTTAATCCTAGTTTCAGTTTCTAGTATTTAAGCTTTTATTGTACCTTACCTAAGTCAATGCTTACCTGTTTATTTTTATAACCAGTGTTGAACCCTTTTTTCGGTAGAGACGAAATGATTTTTTTACATTTATCTGGAGTAATGGCATTCCATTCCTGTATCAGACGATTCTTCAGTATTTCTTTCGATGTCATTGAATGTTCTTTAATTATACACTTTAAAATCGATCACAAATGTTCAATTGGATTAGATCTGGTGACTGGGTAGGCCAACCTAGCAGCTCAATGCAATTGTTTTCATACCAGCTTATTGTGGCTTTGGATTTATGCCATGGAGCATTATTTTGATGGAAACGGACATCATCTAAGTTTGCGTCTCCGAACATCATGTCTAAAGAGGGTTTCAACTTTCAATGCTGTTTCCACGCCCTCAATTTTCTGTTTTTTTGAGTCCATTCGACCTTCGCATATGAACATTTTCCCCCACCCTGATGCAGACTTGCAGCCCCATACTTTAATCGTGCCTCCTCCATACCCTACACACTTAGGCATAAATTCTTCGCTAACGCTGCGTCTGACATAGGTTGCTCCTGCAGTACCAAATACCTGAGTAGTTAAAAAAATTATGATCTTAATACAAGTACTAATAAATACTAATAATAATAATCAAATAAAAGTTAGATCGTTAAAATAACATATGTTAGCGCCTCCTTGGACGCTTTGGCTGCTGGCTACGATGGCTTGACGTTTATTATTATTGATTTTATTTTGTTCAAAAGAAAAATGTCATATTTTTATTTTCTCATTGATATAAGTATTCTTAAAGAAAAACCTTCTGATTTACACTAATAATGGAGTCTTATTTATCGGCGTTAACAATTTGGTGACCCCGACGTGATGTTTTAAAGCTATACAAAGCTAACACCAATAATATAAGCATACCAATAATATAAAACTAAAATAGCATACGAGCACATAGATGAGAGTCGAAGTGGGAATTGCAGAAAATAGCTCTGGAATGTTCGAAAATAATTAATTTTAATTTTCGTATTTACATTTAATCTGGTTCTATTTTTATTTTAAAGGAAATTCCACAAGTTTCGAGTGTAAGCCGGTGAGCATAAGGATTGCTACTTATGGGATAAAGTATCGCCGTTTACCCGAAAATCGTATGTTCGTTGTTATGATTATTCATATTTATTACGTGAAGTCTACGTAAAATACGGAGATTGGGATCATTACTGTAAGTGTTGAATTTCTTGTCACTTTTATTTAAAGTAATTTAAGTGTATAAGTTGGTTTAAATAGTTACCGTGCTCGCACTTACAAAATGTCTGATTTAAGCGATCTCAAACGTAAAAGAGGGACGATTAGAACTCGTTTAACCCTATTTAAAAAATTTCTTGTGCCGTTGTTGGAGCAAAAGAAACCAACACAAGTGTCAATTAATGAATGTGTATTGAGATTATCTAAAACCGAACAGTGCTTTAATTTCTTTGAAGAGGTTCAATCCAATATAGAATTACAGGATAACTCTGAAGATGAAGTAAATCAGCGAGAGGTCACAGAAAACGAATTTTATAGTGTGATTGCTCAAGCACGAGAATTTATTGCCGCCTTCAAGGACAACCACCACCAGGGGGACGAATTCTTCAGTCAAAGCAGCCGCCAGCGCGGTGGCTCTAAAAATATTAAACTGCCACAACTGAAACTTCCTCCCTTTGATGGAAAGACAGATAAATGGTTGGAATTTAGGGATCTTTATCTGTCTTTAATCCATGATAATGAGGATCTTGATAATATATACGTAAATTTCATTACCTTAAATCGTACCTTGAAGGTGATGCAAGTGTTGTGATTAAATCTGTGTCAGTCTCAGCTGAGACTTATCCTATCGCATGGTCGCTTCTGCGCGAAAGATACGATAATAAGCGTTTGTTGATTAATCAACATTTAAAATGCTTGTTCGGTATTGAGCCCTTGTCGAAGGAAAGTGATAAAGGCATACGTCAATTAATAGATAACTTATCTAAAAACTTGCAGGCTCTCAAATCTCTTGGTGAAGACACCGAGAAGTGGGACACTTTAATTATATTTATGGCTTCGTCAAAACTTGATAATGTCACGGCTAGGAGATGGGAGGAGTTCAGAAGTGACATCGCTTCTCCGTCGTTACAGGACTTTTATAAATTTCTGCGTAATAGGGCTGATGTTTTAGAAACGGTGTCTTCTGCTAGGACAGTTTCAATAAATGAAAGACAAATTTTATTAAAAACAAAATCATTTATAGCTTCAACAACTGTTGAGCAGCCGTCGGCACCCTCTGGTTACGAATGCAAGTCATGCAATAAAGGTCATAGATTAATTGAATGTCCCAAGTTTAAATCCTTGTCTGTGGATGAGCGCTACCTGCAAGTAAGCCAGTGGAAATTGTGTAAAAATTGTTTACGCCCTGGCCATCTAACATATCAGTGTCGTTTCAATGGGTGTAGGATCTGTAAAAGAAGACACAGTACACTATTACATAAACAAATACTCAACCAGCAACAAAGCGGAGAGGAAGCAGCTGTTGTTTCAACTAAGAATAATCAGTATTCGTATACGTTACCAGCTCCTTCATCTTCAAGTGTTGCTGTTCAACCTGAAACGGCGATTTTATCAAACAGTACTGTCACTATGACAGCCGTAGACTCTGATCAAGTTTTGCTTTCCACTGCTCTTGTCAAGGTGACATATAATGGTAAGGAGTATATTCTGCGCGCATTGTTAGACAGTGGCAGTCAGTCCTCATTTATTACTGAAAGGGCTAATCAAATAATCGGCTGTAATACGATTAAAATAAATCGTTCTGTTTCGGGTATTAATAATACACTATTGAAAATAAATGCGTCCTGTGTTTTGATCTTAAATTCACTCCACACCTCCTTCACTGGTACTGTCAAGTGTTATATAGTTCCGACTGTAACCGATAAACTTCCTTCTATGAAGGTGCAAACACAATTAAATATACCAAATAATTTATCCCTAGCGGACCCAAACTTTCACTCTCCAGCAGAAGTGGATTTACTGCTGGGCTCAGACATATTCTGGGACCTGGTTGGGTCCAATCAGGTTAAACTGGGTAAAAATAAACCAGTCCTGACAGAAACAAAGCTAGGATGGATAGTGGCTGGCCCTACCGGGGGGAGGCCCAAGGACTCTACGAGGTCTCAAGATATTCGCTGTAACTTTTCTCAGGACATTAAAGAACAACTATCAAAATTCTGGGAACTCGAAGAGTTGCCTAGTACAAAGGCTGTCACTTCATTCGACGATAACTATTGTGAGAAGCTCTTTATTAACTCTACCTACCGTAATAGTGAAGGGAGATATGTGGTGAGGATCCCTTTTCGAGAATCGCCAGATGCCCTAGGTGATTCGTACAAAAGAAGAAGATATATCAAGCTGGCCACAACTGAACCAGTCTATGATCACTACGAGTGGTATACCTGAATCAAAAA